GGGTTGACATCAATCAGTTAGGGTGACGACTCTGTGTTCGTCTGATCCCCAAAATGTTCACTTACTACTGAAATTATATACTGAAACACTTGTTGTATCTTAAAAGTAGGTTCTCTTCTTCTCGTACGGGAGATACTATACAGAGGGACCCAGAAGCTCACTTCCGCACCACAGGACGACTGTCTTCCTCTCTCTATGTATTACTGCATTCTTTAGGATTGTACCAGATGCCAGCATTCACAAGCTAAATACATACAATGTAAAAATGATGGTTTATAGCCATAACATGGTGCACAATAAATGGGAATATTACATAGAAGATTATTACATGTTCTGTAATGCTTTACTATCCTAATTAATGGAAGTAATATAAAAGAATATTATAATAATACATGAAGGTACTACTTTGTGTCCGCTATCATACACCTCCTCCCCCTATCGTCATAGTTTCATCTTGGCCGGACCTTTTGTTTCTACAGTCTCTCGGACCTGCGGAGTACTGGGGCAGAAACACAAGGCGGGGATGGATTTACTGTAAAGACATCAACATTAGGGGACTCAACTGGGGAAGGGTCAACACTAGGCAGCTCCACAGGTCGGAGGAAACGACAGTTCCTCCACCATACTCTACCACTAGGAAGACGCACTTGGTAGTCCCTGGACCGGCCAATACCCATGACAACCCCAACCTTGTCCCAGCGGTGAGATACCGGATCTTGAATCCTGACCTGCTGGCCGATACTCAACCTGGGAAGGGGGCGGGCATGACAGTCATACCGAGCAGCGACATCTGTGGCTCGTTCTGCTGCACGGCGCTCACATTCTTCAGTCTTGGCTTGCCGTTCTTGAGAAAAAGACTTCGGGTGGGCAGGAACACAAGACCTGAGATGATGTCCATATAGAACCTGGGCTGGGGAGCGTCCGGTGAAGTTCGGGGTGTTGCGTAACTCTAACAAACCTCAATCGAAGTCCTCGCAGTCGATATTTCCTGAGGGTGACACCTTAAGGATCAGGTGTTTCACAGTCTTGACTGCGGCTTCAGCGTGTCCAATCGCCTGGGGGTAGTGGGGCGAGGTCACGACATGACGGACTCCCAACGGTCCATGAAGTCCCGAAACTCGTGGCTGGTGAACTGGGGTCCTCCATCAGTCCTGAGGCGGAGGGGAACACCAACTTCTCTGAAGTAATGTCTGAAATTCCAGATGGTGGCAGTAGCCGTTGTATCACTACCACAGGGGACGACAACAGGCCATCCAGACAATCGGTCGGCAATGACGAGGAAGGACTTCCCTGCCACTGCAAAGAAGTCGGCCGACACAGACTCGAAGGGTCGTGAAGGGTTATCGTCGCGCATTAAAGGTTCCTGTTGCTGGCTGGGTTGCAGAATCTGGCACGGCTCACAGGCATGGACGGTACTTGCAATGTCCGCGTCGATTCCGGGCGAAAATACAGTCTGCTTCGCCCGTCGCTTGGTGGCCTCCACTCCTCGATGGCTGTCGTGAAGGCGGGTCAAGGTACGGCGGCGTAGGGCAGCAGGAATGACTACTCGTGGACCATACAAGATGAAGTCTCCGTCACAATAGAGGTCCTCGCTTATCTTCCAGTACGGGAGTAGCGATTCATGAAGGTCGTATCGGTTAGATGGAAATCCCTGGGACACACAGTCGACGAGCCGGATGTAGGAAGGGTCGGCCCGGGCTGCGGTGCAGAGATCTTCAAGGGTCTTGTCTGCATCCGGTGCTGTAGACTCTTCTGATGTGAAGACGGCCTTCAATGAAACTACGGACTTGAGGGATGCAGCAGCTGTAGAACACAACAACTCGTCCTCTGGGGTGGGGAGACTGACAGGGGCGCGGGACAGGGCATCCGGGATGCACAACAGCTTACCCGCACGCCACACAGCCGTGAAGAGATAAGGCGAGAGCTTCTCTTTCAGACGTTGAAGGCGAGGATTCCCTACAGCATCCAAAGAGTAGTGATTGATAATAGGTATAAGAGGGAGATGATCCGTGAAGAGGGTGAAGTGCTGAAGTCCTATCAGGTAGAAGCGGCACTTCGCCATCGCCCAGACAACAGCCAACATCTCCAGCTCAATCGTGGCATATCGGGTCTCGGCGTCCGTCAGGAACCGGGATCCACACTGAATTAAGCGGAGTTGTCCACCGCTATAGTCCTGCAGAAGGGCGTAACCAACGCCGTAGAGTCTGGAGGCGTCAGTCTGGAGGACGGTGGGTAGGGCTGGGTCGTAACAGGCGAGGACAGGTGGACTTAAGAGGGCCTGCTTGACTTGCTGGAAGGCCTCTTGATGATCTGGGGTCCACAGGAATGTCCTCCTGGTGCTCAGCAGGGGGCGCAACGGCTGGGCTGCGGCGGAGATGTCAGGTGTGAATTCAGCCAGCTGATTGACCAGACCCAAAAAAGAACGGAGGTCTGTCAGGTTGGCAGGGGTTGGAAAATCCCTGATTCCACTTAATTTCTCCGGGTCAGCTGCGATACCTGATGCTGAGAGAGTGTTCCCACAGAAGTTCACTGATGGAGCGGCGACTACAAACTTGTCAGCGTTGAGGGTAATCCCGTACTTGCGACATCTGGTGAGAACTTCATATATTCGGGAGAGGTGGGTACAGTAGTCTTCGTCATGGAGTAAGATATCATCAACCACTTTGACACAATTCGTGACTCCTTGAAGGGCCGCGTCACCACGTTGACAGAATGCATCGCCCGTAGCGGCAAATCCCATGGGGCCTCTGCAATACTGATATCTTCCATATGGTGTGATGAATGTGGTCAAATGTTGGTCTTCTTCGGCCAACTCGATCTGCCAATAACCACATAAGGCGTCCATAGTTGTAAAAAACTTCGCCTTCGGGTCCACATTTCGAACAGCTGCGAAGGGTGTGGGTGAAGGGTGGGCTGGACGGGAAACTTGCTGGTTAAGTTTTGACACATCGGTGGTGATCCGTACTCCACCACGAGGTTTGGCGACGGGGACGAGAGGGTGGCACCAAGGTGAAGGTTCGTCTCCGGCCGGCTTGATGATTCCCTGAGCAGCCATGGAGTCAAGCTCTTGTCTAACTAGCTCCTTGTAGGCGTGAGGAATCAAACGAGGGGTGTGGATGGCAAAAGGTGTGGCACCATCCTTAAGATGAATCTTCATAGGTGGACCCACCATCGGCTTGAGTGTTGTGGAGCCTAAAGATTTCTTCGTAACCAACACGTCAGCAAACTCCTTGAGAAGGTAAGCTCTTGCATCAGAATGGGACATGTTAGTAAAGATAGGGAGTTCCTTCAACCTGTTGACATGGGTGACCTTTAAAATAGGTTTGGGGAATTCCTTGGAAATAATGGCCAACTCTTGACAATGGCCATATGATAAAAGCGGAGTCGGGATCCCATCATGAACATCAATCCGGGCTGAGCAAGACTGCTTACCAAAGGTAAGAGTAGCCCAGAAAGATCCCAAAGCTGGAGCCATCTTGGAACCATCAGCTGTCAGTTTCGTTGTCTGAGGAGGGGGCTGTAGGTTGCTCCGGGGTATTCCCAAACTTTCTAAGTGTTGTGGACCAATTACTGAGACGTCAGCACTGGTGTCAGGTAACATCTGAAGACTGGATGACAAGTTACCGTGAGAGATGACGACATTGATGTGCTGGGGCGTCGTGTCTGTGGAACAATGTACACGACGGCAGGAACGACTGGGCACAGCGTCTTGATGCTTGCCAGAAGGAGGGGGCGCGCCAGCACTACCTGAGGATGACTTCTTGGATCCTAGGTGGTGTCCTCTCTGTGTCTTCTTACGACAACATTTGTCATAATGGCCCACACGACCACAAAGTCTGCACTGAACTTTGCTAGCAGGGCACTTGACTGTGTAAGCCCAGTGACCCTGGCGGTCGCAACTTCTGCACACGCTTTGAGCAGCTGGGCACTGGGAGGCATCATGCTGTCTCGCGCAGCTGTTACACAAAGCTGCTGCTGAAGGTGTGGCTGGAGGGTGAGGGGTGGGGTTACCTTGCTGCTTCTTACCCTTTCTGTAGGAAGACACTGCCCTCACCTGGTCAGGTTGTGAGCGTAAAGCTGAAGTCGCACACCTGGCGGCCTCGTACGCTCGACATTTTGTAACAACATCTTGAAGGGAGGAAGTGGGGTCGAGGGAAATGAGACGCTGAACTAGCTCTTCATCTCGGACACCCGTTAAAATGATTGTCTTGAGTTGTGTCTCTTCACAGACTTGAGAATGTCCGGGACAAACATCAACTTCCTCTGAACATCTCTTGAGTCTTACAAAAAATGCGTCAAAAGATTCTCCATCAAGCTGCTTACATTGGAGGAGTTCTCTTCTTCTGAGTGCTTCGTTGCGCTGTTGTAATGGTCATGATAAGAGCTAACCTGAAAACCTTAAGGATTCATATTACGCTCAAACGTCCACAAAACCTTCTGAGTCCCCCAGTGGAAACGTCCCCGTTTTCTCTGTTTCCCCTTCTTTGTCTATATGGGAGCAGACGCTGTATGCTGGGACCTGTTGCCATCCATTCCTTTGTAATCAATTTAATTTTGCTTTCGATAGCTGAGTCAGAGCATTGTTAGTGAAGATAATAGTAGAGAAGGAAAAGGAGTTCATAGTCTCAATTTCAACGTCAGAGGGTACCGTAAATTAATTCATTGGAATAGGAGTAGCTGGACTCCCTGGCCTAGTTTGAGTGAGGGCGCCGCGGGCATTTTAACCGTTAGTAAGTGCCCGTCCCTTCATCCATACAGGTATGCCATTCCACGCTGTGGTGTAATTTGCCCTTCTTTAAGTGATTTGACCCAATTAATAGTTGATTGTGCAAGTGTTACAGTAACGTAGTTGATATGCTCTGAGTAAAGTCATATTTACGTCTTTAACGTCCCCTGAAACGTGTTGTTGTTGTCACCAGTTAGTAAGTGCCCGTCCCTTCATCCATACAGGTCCCTAACGCAGCCTAGGCCGTGTCTGTAGGGAGGATGTTGTATCCACCATGTCTGGGGGACATGTCCGAGGAGTCCAGTGGGATCAGTTACCTCGTGAGACCCAGCCGTCAGACTTACTTCAGACCACCTATAGCCCCATGGCGGCTCGTCTGGCCCTAACATCGGTCACGGATGGCCCCGGACCGCAAGCCACACCACTACCAGCCCCCATCATTGGTGGATGAGTGTCTACCTCAGTAGGGCTATATTTGTGTGGTGGAATTAACCCACTGGGATCTCCAGAGTCGTGGGATAGTACTCCCATGGTGGCTGGACCCCATAACATTTGTAGTATCACTCTGACGGCCTTCAAGGTGTTCTTAATGATGGCAGTTGCCCTGTATTTATGGTGCTAAGTGACTATCATAGTTGTGTTATTGAGTATGTCCACCCCGTAGGGTTGGAAGGGTATTGAATATGTCCACCCAGTAATGGTGTGAGTATGTTGAGCCTGAGGGCCTAGTAATAGATTTCATCTGTTAGTACAAACCAATTCTTTCTTCTAATTTCATATTCATGTTTAAATAAACTTTGTATTTGTATAATTGTGTATATTATTTACCTACAGTATTTACCGTTATTTCTTCCCTATTGCTTGATACTATCATTACACCTACCCACGAGCCTCCTATCGTCACGCTACCAATGGTGATATATAAGAGTAAAAGGAATTGTTACTGGCACACAGGCCCTCATGAAGGGTGGCAGTAGCAGCCCTCATAAATGGTGGCAGCTCAAGCCCTCATAAATGGTGGCAGCGGTGGGATGTAATGAACATAGTATCGAGTTGGGAGGAATGACTGTGATACTGTAGTTTAACTGAGTTATAACCATTTCTCTGTACGGGTATTTAATAATCATTCCACTGTAACTAATGAGTATTTCAGATTGCTAATGATTTTGTCCCATATTTTTCCGAGGTACAGCTTTTTGTGGTGGTTTGCAGAGAGAGTGAAATAAGTTCAAAGAAATACCTTGGAGTTAGGTTAGAAAAAGTCTTGTTTAAAGTAAAAGGAAACCTGCAACAATAACTTGTAGAGTGTGAATAAGGTTCATTAATAGTGGAAGAATTTTGATATGTAACAATCTGCCCAAATTTTTTTTCTGTTGTTAACTCAGTATTACTTACAGACAGTGAATACATGTTTGGGCCGTGGCACTAGTTGTGAAATGTTTCCATCGTGGGAGTGCCCAGTGTTTTAATTCTGAGTGCTAACAGAAGCATTGCACTATATACAAAGGTTAAGTGGATGCTAATTCTGTACTTGTCATATTCTTTAGTTATGTGTTAGGTAGGATATATATTCCATTTACTTAATATCTCGGGGCATTTTACAGTTCCTACTATTAATATTCCTATGTATATGCTATAATTTTAAAGTTATTTTAACCAGGTGCTAACGGGTCATTATTTTGTGTAACGTATGTTATGTGAACTCTAATGCCAGTATACTTTCAGAATACAGTATTATATATGTGAGGACCTTATGGTGATACGGTATATGGAAAATGTTATACAAGTGTATGGACCCAGAATTGTGAGTACGGAAATTCGTGAAGTGTTCACGCAGTGTTGCACCATACTGAGTCTGTGAATGGCAAAGTGTCTAAGTGAATTTTTGATGCCATAATAGTATCTTTGGGGAGATTAATAATCTGAACAGTAGTTTGAATAGTTGATGCATGGAGTGTTAGTCGTATTGCAGAAAATCAGTACCAGTCCGTGGGTCTTGAGTGAGCACTGTGCATGTATTGTATTTACAGTGGGATATACCTGTAGTATTGATTTGTTGTAACACAATGGCAGATGCTAACGCAAATAAGGGGACCATGACGGCCAAAGCCGCTGTTGATTTAGCAACAAAAGTCCCAGCACTTCTGGCTAAACTCGCTAAAGCCATGGGTAAAGGAGGAGAAAACCAGTGGTTAGACTGGATCTTTAAGAAACAGTGGGCTTTGTAAGTGAACCTCCTTGGTTGTTGATGGGTAGTGAAGTGCACAATCTGTTGTAGGTAACTTTTGGTAATTGAAGAAGAAAAAAAAAAATGGAGGATGTTTTTTTGGGGGGGTTAAAAGTATTTTGCAGAGGAAGGGTCAATTTGCAGTAAAGACAGAGATTGGAAGATGGATTGGCAGTTATGCAATCATCTGAAGGGTATCTGTTACTCGTATGAGTAAAGATACCAGTGGTGAATTCTCAAGTTCTGGTTGGTAAGTCCTACGTAGGCTGGGTGTTGTTGGTATATAGGTGTAGAGTTCGTGACTTTCAGGGAGTATTCGGGCATATAAATATGGTGCTATTACTTCTACATGGCAAATGCCATAAGTACAGACAGTTTTTGGTTTGGTGGTGTTCTCATGAGGACCGTTTCGTTAGCATTGAATTCTTGGGAATACCCGCTCGTTCGGAGTCCCTTGAAGGGTGCTGCCTCTCGCGAGTGCGACATAACTCTTAAGATTAAGGGCAACAAATCATTCCTTTGACTTGATGGGGTCCGTTCGTCTATGTCCTAGCTTGAGAAATCTATGTTAAATCTCAGTGTGTCCTGTCAGCATTTGACCAATCGCGTAAAAGAAACTTTCATAATCTATGAACATTGAAATTTGAGTTCTGTAAGGAAATTTTGAGTGTGCATTTTATCTACCGATGTGAGGGTGTATTTTGTAACATGTAACACCATTTATTATTATTATTATTGGATATGAGGTATCTAACTCAAATCATTATTATTCTATGATGATGTACTTGACCCCATTTATTATTATATGATATGATGTATGTAACACCATTTATTATTATATGATATGATGTATGTAACACCATTTATTATTATATGATATGATGTATTTACCGCCATTCAGTATTATTATGACATGATGTACCTAACCCCATGTGCTATTATTTTTGGTGCTATTTTGTAATATGTATCCCAATATATTTTTTATGAAGGTGTGTCACATTCTAATTGTATGTTAACAGATTTCCATTTCTTGTACCTAATCCTGACCACCGGTAGGGAATTATTTTTCTAGTTTTATTGATATAATTTGTGCAATGTTTGTATGAGGATTTATACTTTATATTAATGATTTAATATGTATGTCACTACTTACGTGTTTTCTGAACGTTACCGCATAATGATGAATCTTGGGGAAGGAGGAAGCTTTGTAATGGTCATGATAAGAGCTAACCTGAAAACCTTAAGGATTCATATTACGCTCAAACGTCCACAAAACCTTCCGAGTCCCCCAGTGGAAACGTCCCCCGTTTTCTCTGTTTCCCCCGCCTTTGTCTATGGGAGCAGACGCTGTATGCTGGGACCTGTTGCCATCCATTCCTTTGTAATCAATTTAATTCTGCTTTCGATAGCTGAGTCAGAGCATTGTTAGTGAAGATAATAGTAGAGAATGAAAATGAGTTCATAGTCTCAATTTCAACGTCAGAGGGTACCGTAAATTAATTCATTGGAATAGGAGTAGCTGGACTCCCTGGTCTGGTTTGAGTGAGGGCACGCGGGCATTTTAACCGTTAGTAAGTGCCCGTCCCTTCATCCATACAGGTATGCCATTCCACGCTGTGTTGTAATTTGCCCTTCTTTAAGTGATTTGACCCAATTAATAGTTGATTGTGCAAGTGTTACAGTAACGTAGTTGATATGCTCTGAGTAAAGTCATATTTACGTCTTTAACGTCCCCTGAAACGTGTTGTTGTTGTCACCAGTTAGTAAGTGCCCGTCCCTTCATCCATACAGGTCCCTAACGCAGCCTAGGCCGTGTCTGTAGGGTGGATGTTGTATCCACTATGTCTGGGGACATGTCCGAGGTCCAGTAGGATCAGTTACCTACGTGAGACCCGGCCGTCAGACACTTCAGACCACCTATAGCCCCCATAGCTGGCTCGTCTGGCCCTAACGCTCGGTCCACGAGGTGACCCCGGACCACCAAGCCACACACCACTACCAGCCCCCATCATTGGTGGATGAGTGTCTACCTCAGTAGGGCTATATTTGTGTGGTGGAATTAACCCACTGGGATCTCCAGAGTTCGTCGGATAGTACTCCATGGTGGCTGGACCCCATGGCTGTTGCTTGAGTATCACTCCTGACGACTGAGTGTTGTAGTGGCAGTTGCCTAGTATTTATGGTGCTAAGTGACTATCATAGTTGTGTTATTGAGTATGTCCACCCCGTAGGGTTGGAAGGGTATTGAATATGTCCACCCAGTAATGGTGTGAGTATGTTGTGCCTGAGGGCCTAGTACGAGATTTCGTCTGTTAGTACAAACCAATTCTTTCTTCTAATTTCATATTCATGTTTAAATAAACTTTGTATTTGTATAATTGTGTATATTATTTACCTACAGTATTTACCGTTATTTCTTCCCTATTGCTTGATACTATCATTACACCTACCCACGAGCCTCCTATCGTCACGCTACCAATGGTGATATATAAGAGTAAAAGGAATTGTTACTGGCACACAGGCCCTCATGAAGGGTGGCAGTAGCAGCCCTCATAAATGGTGGCAGCTCAAGCCCTCATACTGTCCCTTAACATGTTCTTGTAACTTGTCGAGCACGGCCTCTACCGTCAGAGTTGTCGTAGGAGGCACTTGAAGTGTGTGCGCGAGAGTATGTTGTGTCTCTAAGGACAAACACATATGAAGCTGTATCATCTGTTTCGGCTGTGGTAAACTTGACAAGTCAACCATTGTTGCATAGTCTTGCCAACGACGACGCCATTCCCGAAATATCTGATAGTAAGCGTCAGACATCAGAGAGGGAGGCGTGTGTTCTGCAGCCTTTTGAGGGGCTGTTGATCCGACTCTGGGAAATGAGGTACCAGTACCACTAGTCGTATCAACATTAGTAGTAGCAGACGAATCTTGCACAGTAGATCGTTGTGGGGAGGCTAACAGAAATCAAGACTTCAAATCTGGCTTGATCTTCCCTTCTTCTCAGGTCATCCTCACTTCTACGTATGTCTTTGAGTTCTCTGCGAGTCTGTTCCTCTTTGTGGCGCCGTCTTTCAGACTCTTTGTACCGAATTTCTTCCTCTTCTCTCCTTGCAATATTGTCCTGGCGTCGAGAAGTTTCCATCCACTTAATCAGTTGAAGGAGATCTGTGGACGCATGCATCGCAGGAGAGCTTGCTCGCGACGAACGAGGAGATTCTGTGGGTGACTGGGCGTTGTCAATGTGGGGAACGTGGGGCCTGAGTGTGGGCAGGGAGAGGTGTCCCACACTAAAACTCATAATCTCATCGTCCAGGGTATCGCGTTGATCCCTGTGAGACATGCCGACAGCCTCTGTACTCTATCTGTGCAAAAGACCGGGTCAGCCCCTCGTAATCTATGCACAGAATTACAGAAGTTTGAAGTAACTCACAAGAATAAAATATAAGGTGATTCTGTGAATGCATGTGTGTGTGTGTGTCTGGCGGGAGGCCAGGAGAGACTTGGCGCGCTGCCAGACGTAGGAGCGGCTGGGCAGCGTCGAGCGCTGGTTCCTCAGTTACCCTCTGACCAGAGACGGGAGAGCACGTACTGTCGGGCCGCTCCCTTAGTCATCTGACCGCACTATGCACAGACAATTATGATTAAAATACACAACACAGCACTTCACAAAACACTTCACTTCACAGCATAGCACTGTACACAGCATAGCACTTCACAACACTGTAAGTCTAGAGGCTTGTAGTAGTCTTGCTGTAAATCCTGATGAAGCTGAAGACGAGACACCATTAACACAGTCTGGGCGGGAAGGCTTGTCCACTGTATCTCACTGATAAATAAACACTGCGCCATCTGTGTTCGTCTTGATACCTCCAAAATGTTCTATACTACTGAGGGTATATATAAACACTTGTTATCTTAAAAGTAGGTTCTCTTCTCGTACGGGAGATATATATACAAAGGGACCAAGAAGCTCGCTTCCGCACCACAAGGACTCGCAGTCTTCACTCTCTCTATGTATTACTGTGTGCTTGCATGTACAGATGCCAGCATTCACAAGTTGGATACATACAATGTAAATATGATAATTTATATACATAACATGGTGCATAATAAATGGGAATATTACATAGAATTAATACATGTTCTGCAATACTTTACTACAAATAATTAATACAGTAATATAAGGGTAACATAATAATACACAGCTTAAGGTACTACTTCGTGTCCATATCATACAATGAAGACCAACTCTTTTTGTATTGTGACGGGATGCAGGATGTTTTATAAGGAATAAATTAGTTAAGTCATGATTGATGTTTCACCCTTCTTCCCACTCGCGATTTGGTCAATGAAAAACCCAGCCCAATGCCTAGCTTACGCTGCCCGTTACCTAACGAGATACATACTGCCCGGGGGGTCTGGTGGCAGCGACCTTAAAATTAAGAATAGAGTTAAGTTATCCCCTTAGAATTAGTGACCCCAGAATCGGGCAGTATAACCCCAGTTTATTTCACATGAAGATTAACCATCCTAATGCTACCTTGGGGGTTAAGTTAAGTTTTGGGTAGGCTAGGTTAGGTGACATTTTATTAGGTCAAGTTAGATGATGTTATGCTATTACGCTACATAATATTCAAATCCACCGCGCTTGTAGAATCTCAGGAGAGACGTGTATTTCCCATCTGTTTTACCCTCAGGATCACTCCCAGTAAGACCCGCCTTCGAACACAGTTGTCACTACGTTTATTGCATTCTCTACTGGCAAACGCAACCTTGAATTAGTCTGTTTAAATCAACTTTAGTAATTCGCCAGACCTTTGTCAACTGAGGGTCATCTTTGAATGAGTAACAGTTAGTTTGTTTGTGATTATTGTCATTGCGTGAGTAGCGATCACTGGCAACTCAGGGGTATATAAACTCAAGATGGCCAGGGAGCGCGTCCCCTGACGCTGCCCCGTTTGTCTCCAGGTCGAGGGTGGGCTTAATTGAAACCCACCGGTCGCTCGGAGCCGGTGGATACCCAGCAGTGGTCAATATAGGAGTGATGGCGCTGATTCGGCATGATTAATCGGCTCTACTCTACCTCGTGGGCCGAGGACCCCAAACCCATCTCGGGTCGGAGTGTAACCGACCACAACAGCAGTTGTTAGAGGCGCCAGTGCTATACCCTGGGACAGGCCTTGGAATTATGGTCCACAGTGTGGTTGTATGTGTTTTTACCAGTATGTTTTATAAGGAATAAATCAATTAAGACATGTTATGGTTTCACCCTTCTTTACCCTTATCGATCTGGTCAATGGAAAACCTAACCCAATGCCTAGTCCACTCTGCCCGCTACCTAACGAGCTACATGCTGTCCAGAGGGGGTCTGGTGGCAGCGACCCTTAGAAATTAAGATTAGAGTTAAGTTATCCCCTTAGATTTAGTGACCCCAGAATCTGGCAGTATAATGCCAGGTTAGGTTAGGTTAGGTCCCAGGGGTTCCCAATTAGTTTAGGTAACACCCCAAACACACCTCACAACACTACTCATTATCCCTATATAATATATACTTTAAATATTAGCCTTTCATATTATTTTCTTTTGAATGATTGTAAATAAATATCGCTAATTAATGATCAAAAGTAAGTCCTGGCTAGACCAACACTGGCACATGTTCAGGTATAGTTCACTCAAGAGCCCCTACAGTACACACCCAGTTGTGTGCAGCAGATAAGTGACTGGTTGACCGACTGGCATGTAAACTGTCAGGTGGGGAAGTGGATATGTTAATAAAATACTTATATACGTTGTCTGGCATCTCACAGTTGAGATGAAAACATGTAAGTCTTCGAGTAGTCGACCCCTGGTGAGGCGAGGACAGGTGGGCAGCCTCCACTCTTCCTCGACTTTCCTTTTTTTTTTGTACTGACCTGAGTCAACCTCCTTGTATGGTACCTCCACCTGCCCCCCCTCCCCTCCTACACACTCCAGAATGGTGGCTTTTTATGACCTTCCCTCACCCCCTCTCTCCCATATACTAACAAATGGTCCCTTCGTTCCTCCTTCCCTCCTTACCACCTTCCTGGACACACCCTCACCTAGACACGCCCTACATGTCCTGGACACCCTACATGTCCTAGACACACCCTTTCACAAGGTTCAGTTTTGATATTTGATGTTCGCGGTTACATTTTTTTTTTGGGGGGGGGACATTGTCTGGCTATCCTTGATAAGCTTCTTTACTGCCAGTCTCTACAAAGCTGAGCTTTACAAACTTATCTCCCAACTGATGAGAAAATGAAGCTTTTAAAGTTAAAATTTTTATGTGTTTTGAATTAAAAATTAGATTTTATCTGATCAGGAAGGAGGGAGGAGGCGAACCTGTTTTTTCCCCTGGTGTGAGAGGGAGGGAGGGAGGGAGGAATGCAGGGAGGGATGCAGGGAGGGAAGGAGGCAGATGATTTTTCTTTTCTTTTTTATTGGGCACCCCCCTACATCCTTGTGTAAGGTGAAGAGCAGAAGCAGCGCCCAACAGGGAAGCATGCTAAGTTCATGCTTGCCTTTATGTGTCATGAGTTAAGGGCGAAGGAGCCTGAAGAGTCAATGGCGTAGAAGCCTGAAGAGTCATCAAGTTATTGGAAGCTCCAACAACTTGTCCCTGAATACGAATTCGCAACTTTCGATTTACAACAGGTACCAATTTTATTGCTAGGTGAACAGGGACTAATGGGGTCCAACTAAGGTCTGGTGGTGGCGCAACAAGGTTAAATACAGTACAACTCACCGTTGCTGGGATACTTGTAGCTCCGTCCATCGAGGAGGGGGACAAAAACACTTAAACCAAAATCCTCTAAACCTCTTACTTACCTAAGATGTGTGTCTTAAAAGTTCATGAGTCGTGTGTTATCAAGTATTTGGAGATGTGTGAGGTGTTAGAGGTCATGATCGTGTGTTGGGAGGGAGACGGAGGGAGGTGAGGAGGAGTTATAACGGACGGTGAGAAAGAGATGTGTTTACCTAAGACTGCACCTCGACCACTTACACTTCTCAACTTATCTCTTTCACATTTTGTTAACTCTAGAATTTAGTCACATGGACCGAGATGTGAACGATTGGACCCACTTAATACGGGAATTTAAACTCTTGGTTCCTGTACGTGTGAGAATTTTAGTAGAATTTATGAAAGGGAAACACAGTAATATCGATGTTTGATCACCCAGAGCCCTACAAGGCTCCACAGATACACGAGGATCTACAGCTCTACAAGGCTCTATAGCTCTATAAGGAATCCTCAGCTCTACACGGTTTCACAGCTCTACAAGGCTCTACTGCTCAACAGGTCTACAAGGTCTACAGGTCTACAAGCTTCTACAGCTCTACAAGGCTCTACAGCTCTACAAGGATCTACAGGCCTACAGGGCTCTACAAGTCTACAAGGCTCTACAGCTCTACAAGGATCTACAGGTTTACAAGGCTCTATAGGTCTATAAGGCTCTACAGCTCTACAAGATTCCACGGTTCTACAAGGTTCCACAGGTCTACAAAGATCTACAGCTCTACAAGGCTCTACAGCTCTACAAGGCTCCACAGCTCTACAAGGATCTACAGGTCTACAGGGCTGAACAAGTCTACAAGGCTCTACAGATCTAAAAGCCTCCACAGCTCTACAAGGCTCTACAGCTCTACAAGGATCAACAGGCCTACAAGGCTCTACAGCTCTGCAGGTCAACAAGGCTCCACAGCTCTACAAGGCTCCACAGCTCTACAAGGCTCCACAGCTCTACAAGGCTCTACAGCTCTACAGGTCTACAAGGCTCCACACGTCTACAAGGCTCCACAGATCTACAAGGATCTACATGTCTACAAGGCTCTACAGCTCTAAAAGGCTCTACAGCTCTGCAGGTCAACAAGCTCCACAGCTCTACAAGGCTCCACAGCTCTACAAGGCTCCACAGCTCTACAAGGCTCCACAGCTCTACAAGGTCACACCAGCTCTACAAGGCTCCACGGCTCTACAAGGCTCCACAGTTCTACAAGGCTCCAGGCTCTACAAGCCACAGCAGCTCTAGGCTCTACAGGTCTACAAGGCCCCAGGTCTGGTTCCACAGCTCTACAAGGCTCTACAGCTCTGCAAGTCAACAGGTCTACAACCTACAGGTCTACAAATTATCTCTAGCTCTGGGCTGTCAGCTTTACAGGGCTGTACAGCTCTGGGGCTGTACAGCTCTACAGGGCTGTACAGCTCTAAAGCTGTACAGGTCTACAAGGCTCTACAGCTCTACAAGGCTCTACAGCTCTACAAGGCTCTACAGGTCTACAAGGCTCAAAAAGGTCTACAAGGCTGTACAGCTCTACAAAAGCTCTACAGGTCTACAAGGCTGCACAGGTCTACAAGGCTCTACAGGTCTACAAGGCTCCACAGGTCTACAAGGCTCCACAGGTCCAAGGCTCCACAGGTCTACAAGGCTCCACAGGTCTAAGGCTCTACAGGTCTCAAGGCTCTACAGGTCTACAAGGCTCCACAGGTCTACAAGGCTCCACAGGTCTACAAGGCTCCACAGGTCTACAAGGTTCCACAGGTCTACAAGGCTCTACAGGTCTACAAGGCTCACAGGTCTACAAGGCTCCACAGGTCTACAAGGCTCCTGGGTCTACAAGGCTCACATGTCTAGGCTCCACAGCTCTACAAGGCTCCACACGTCTACAAGGCTCCAGGTCTAAGGCTCCCACAGGTCTACAGGTCTACTAGGCTCTACAGGTCTACAAGGCTCCACAGGTCTACAAGGCTCTACAGGTCCACAAGGCTCTACAGGTCTACAAGGCTCTACAGGTCTACAAGGCTCCACAGGTCTAAGGCTCCACAGGTCTACAAGGCTCTACAAGGACTGCAAGGCTCTACAGGTCCACAAGGCTCTACAGGTCTACAAGGCTCTACAGGTCTACAAGGCTCTACAGGTCCACAAGGCTCACAGGTCTACAAGGCTCTACAGGTCACAAGGCTCCACAGGTCTTCAAGGCTCCACAGGTCTACAAGGGCTCTACAGGTCCCAAGGCTCTACAGGTCTACAGGCCTACAGGACTGCAAGGCTCTACAGGTCCTAAGGCTCTACAGGTCTACAAAGCTCCACAGGTCTACAAGGTGCTACAGGTCCACAAGGCTCTACAGGTCTACAAGGTCTCAGGTCTACAAGGCTCTACAAACCACAGGCTCTACAGCTCTACAAGGCTCCACAGGTCTGCAAAGGCTCTACAGGTCTACAAGGCTCCAGGTCTACAAGGCTCTACAGGTCCACAAGGCTCTTCAGGTCTACAAGGCTCCACAGGTCTACAAGGCTCACAGGTCTACAAGGCTCCACAGGTCTACAGCTCTACAAGGATCAACAGGTCTACAAGGCTCCAGAGTCTACAAGGCTCCACAGGTCTCCAAGGCTCCACAGGTCTACAAGGCTCCACAGGTCACAAGGCTCTACAGGTCTACAAGGCTCTACAGGTCCTAAGGCTCCAGGTCTACAGGGCTCTACAGGTCTGAGCTCCACAGGTCTACAAGGCTCCACAGGTCTACAAGGTCACAGGTCTACAAGGCTCTACAGGTCTACAAGGCTCTAGGTCTACAAGGCTCCCCAGGTCTACAAGGCTCCACAGGTCTACAAGGCTCCACAGGTCTAGGCTCTGAGTTACAAAGCTCTAAAGGTCTGCAAGGCTCTACAGGTCCTAAGGCTCCACAGGTCTACAAGGCTCTACAGGTCCACAAGCTACAGGTCTAGTCACAGGCCCCACAGGTCTACAAGGCTCTACAGGTCTACAAGGCTCCACAGGTCTACAAGGGCTCTACAGGTATACAAGGCTCCACAGGTCTACAAGGCTCCACAGTCTACAAGGCCACAGGTCTATAAGGATCAACAGGTCATACAAGGCTCCACAGGTCTACAGTCCACAGGTCTACAAGGCTCCACAGGTTCCACAAGGCTCTACAGGTCTACAGCTCCACAGGTCTACAAGGCTCCACAGGTCTACAGGCTCCTGGGTTACAGGATCAACAGGTCTACAAGGCTCTACAGGTCCACAAGGCTCTACAGGTCTACAAGGCTCCACAGGTCTACAAGGCTCTACAGGTCCTACAAGGCTCCACAGGTCTAAGGCTCTACAGGTCTACAAGGCTCTACAGGTCTGAGGGCTCCAGGGTCTACAAGGCTCCACAGGTTCTACAGGATCAACAGGTCTACAAGGCTCACAGGTCTACAAGGGCTCCACAGGTCTACAAGGCTCCACAGGTCTACAAGGCTCACAGGTCTGGGCTCAACAGGTCCACAAGGCTCTACAGGTCTACAAGGCCAACAGGTCTACAAGGCTCCACAGGTCTACAAGGCTCCACAGGTCTACAAGGCTCTACAGGTCCTGGGCTCTACAGGTCTACAAGGCTCTACAGGTCTACAAGGCTCTACAGGTCTATAGGATCAACAGGTCTACAAGGCTCTACAGGTCACAAGGCTCCACAGGTCTACAAGGCTCACAGGTCTAAGGCTCTAGGTCTGGGGCTCACAGGTCTCAAGGATCTCCAGGTCCAAGGCTCCACAGGTCTAAGGCTCCACAGGTCTACAAGGCTCTACAGGTCTACAAGGCTCAACAGGTCTAGGGGCTCCACAGGTCCATAAGGATCAACAGGTCTACAAGGCTCTACGGTCACAAAGGCTCACAGGTCTAAGGCTCACAGGTCTACAGGATCAGGGTCTACAGGCTCTACAGTCCAGGCTCTACAGGTCTACAAGGCTCCACAGGTCTATAAGGATCAACAGGTCTACAAGGCTCTACAGGTCCACAAGGCTCTGGGTCTACAAGGCTCTACAGGTCTACAAGGCTCCACAGGTCTGGGGCTCCACAGGTCACAAGGATCAACAGGTCTGGGCTCTACAGGTCTACAAGGCTCCAGGTCTATAAGGATCAACAGGTCTACAAGGCTCTACAGGTCCACAAGGCTCTACAGGTCTACAAGGCTCTACAGGTCTACAAGGCTCTACAGGTCCACAAGGCTCTACAGGTCTACAAGGCCCACAGGTCTATAAGGATCCACAGGTCTACAAGGCTCTACAGGTCTACAAGGCTCTACAGGTCTACAAGGCTCTACAGGTCTACAAATACAGGTCTACAAGGCTCCACAGGTCTAAAGGCTCAACAGGTCTGCAAGGCTCTAGGTCTATAGGATCAACAGGTCTACAAGCCACAGGTCCACAAGGCTCCACAGGTCTACAAGGCTCTACAGGTCTATAGGATCAACAGGTCTACAAGGCTCCACAGGTCTACAAGGATCAACAGGTCTACAAGGCTCTACAGGTCTATAAGGATCAACAGGTCTACAATACAGGTCTATAAGGATCAACAGGTCTACAAGGCTCCACAGGGGTCCACCAAGGGCTCCACAGGTTCTACAAGGCTCTACAGGTCTACAAGGCTCCACAGGTCTACAAGGCTCCACAGGTCTACAAGGCTCCACAGGTCTACAAGGATCAACAGGTCTACAAGGCTCTACAGGTCCCTGGGCTCTACAGGTCTAGGCTCCACAGGTCTACAAGGCTCTACAGGTCCACAAGGCTCCAGGTCTACAAGGCTCTACAGGTCTAAGGCTCTACAGGTCTAGAGGCTCCACAGGTCTAAGGCTCCACAGGTCTACAGCTCTACAAGGATCAACAGGTCTACAGGCTCCTGGGTCTACAAGGCTCCACAGGTCTACAGGCTCCTAGGTCTACAAGGCTCCACAGGTCTATAAGGCTCCACAGGTCACAAGGCTCTACAGGTCCCTGGGCTCTACAGGTCTACAAGGCTCCAACAGGTCTACAAGGCTCCACAGGTCTACAAGGCTCCAGAGTCCTGGCTCTACAGGTCCACAGGGCTCTGGGTCTCAAAGGCTCTACAGGTCTACAAGGCTCTACAGGTCTATAGGATCCAACAGGTCTACAAGGCTCTACAGGTCCACAAGGCTCCACAGGGTCTACAAGGCTCTACAGGTCCACAAGGCTCTACAGGTCTACAGGCTCCACAGGTCTAAGGATCAACAGGTCACAAGGCTCTACAGGTCCAGGGCTCCACAGGTCTACAAGGCTCTACAGGTCTACAAGGCTCTACAGGTCTAGAGGCTCCACAGGTCCTGGGATCAACAGGTCTCACAAGGCTCTACAGGTCCACAAGGCTCCACAGGTCTACAAGGCTCCACAGGTCTACAAGGTCAGGTCTAAGGCTCTACAGGTCCTCAAGGCTCTACAGGGTCTACAAGGCTCCACAGGTCTATAAGGATCAACAGGTCTACAAGGCTCTACAGGTCCACAAGGCTCTAGGTCTACAAGGCTCTACAGGTTACAAGGGCTCTAGGTCTAAGGCTCCACAGGTCTACAGGATCAACAGGTCTACAAGGCTCTACAGGTCTACAAGGCTCCACAGGTCTATAAGGATCAACAGGTCTACAAGGCTCTACAGGTCCACAAGGCTCTACAGGTCTACAAGGCTCTACAGGTCTACAAGGCTCTACAGGTCACAAGGCTCTGGGTCTACAAGGCTCCACAGGTCTATAAGGATCAACAGGTCTACAAGGCTCTACAGGTCTACAGGCTCTACAGGTCTACAAGGCTCTACAGGTCTACAAGGCTCTACAGGTCTACAGGCTCCACAGGTCTACAAGGCTCAACAGGTCTACAAGGCTCTACAGGTCTACAAGGCTCTACAGGTCTACAAGGCTCCACAGGTCTAGGATCAACAGGTCTACAAGGCTCTACAGGTCCACAAGGCTCTACAGGTCTACAAGGCTCTACAGGTCTACAAGGCTCCACAGGTCTATAAGGCTCAACAGGTCTGCAAAGGTCTACAGGTCTACAAGGCTCTACAGGTCCAAGGCTCCACAGGTCTATAAGGATCAACAGGTCTACAAGGCTCTACAGGTCTACAAGGCTCTACAGGTCTACAAGGCTCTACAGGTCCTGCAAGGATCAACAGGTCTACAAGGCTCTACAGGTCTACAAGGCTCTACAGGTCTACAAGGCTCCACAGGTCTATAGGATCAACAGGTCTACAAGGCTCTGGGTCTATAGGATCAACAGGTCTACAAGGCTCTACAGGTCTACAGGCTCTACAGGTCTATAAGGATCAACAGGTCTACAAGGCTCCACAGGTACAAAGGTCTACAGGTCTGGGCTCTACAGGTCCTGGGCTCCAACAGGTCTACAAGGCTCCTACAGGTCTACAAGGCTCTACAGGTCTAAAAGGATCAACAGGTCTACAAGGCTCCACAGGTCTACAAGGATCAACAGGTCTACAAGGCTCTACAGGTCTATAAGGATCAACAGGTCTACAAGGCTCTACAGGTCTACAAGGCTCAACAGGTCTACAAGGCTCCACAGGTCTATAGGATCAACAGGTCTACAAGGCTCTACAGGTCACAAGGCTCTCCAGGTCCTAAGGCTCTACAGGTCCTGGGGCTCTACAGGTCCACAAGGCTCTACAGGTCCACAAGGCTCTACAGGTCTACAAGGCTCCACAGGTCTACAAGGATCAACAGGTCTACAAGGCTCTACAGGTCCACAAGGCTCCTACAGGTCTACAAGGCTCCACAGGTCTACAAGGCTCCACAGGTCTATAAGGCTCCAACAGGTCTACAGGCTCTACAGGTCTATAAGGCTCTACAGGTCTACAAGGCTCTACAGGTCTACAAGGCTCTACAGGTCTACAAGGCTCCAACAGGTCTACAAGGCTCTACAGGTCTACAAGGCTCACAGGTCTACAAGGCTCCACAGGTCTATAAGGATCAACAGGTCTACAAGGCTCTAGGTCCTGAGCTCTACAGGTCTACAAGGCTCCAACAGGTCTACAAGGCTCTACAGGTCCACAAGGCTCTACAGGTCTACAAGGCTCCACAGGTCTATAAGGATCAACAGGTCACAAGGCTCTACAGGTCTACAAGGCTCTACAGGTCTACAAGGCTCTACAGGTCTACAAGGCTCTGGGTCTATAGGATCACAGGTCCACAAGGCTCTACAGGTCTACAAGGCTCTGGGTCTGCAAGGCTCCACAGGTCTATAAGGATCAACAGGTCTACAAGGCTCTACAGGTCTACAAGGCTCTACAGGTCTACAAGGCTCTACAGGTCCACAAGGCTCCACAGGTCTACAAGGCTCTACAGGTCCATCAAGGCTCCACAGGTCTACAAGGCCTTACAGGTCTAGAGGGCTCCACAGGTCTATAAGGATCAACAGGTTCAAGGCTCTACAGGTCCACAAGGCTCCACAGGTCTACAAGGCTCTACAGGTCTACAAGGCTCCACAGGTCCACAAGGCTCCACAGGTCTACAAGGCTCTACAGGTCCACAAGGCTCCACAGGTCTACAAGGCTCCACAGGTCTATAAGGATCAACAGGTCTACAGCTCTACAAGGATCAACAGGTCTACAAGAATCTACAGCTCTACAATGTAATGTTACAATATATTCACATGAAGAAGATTACATATAGGTAGAATATTGATAGTATAAGAGTGTAAAGAGAGGAAGTTTTGGTAGCGTGGCCGTGATAGATATTTACACTTATCGTATCTTATACGTCAATACACTTCTATTACGTCTTAAGGGCGACTTCTCAAACACCGCTTGTTTCAACTCTTTATTAATTACGAACATGACATGGACACATTAATAACACCTTCTATTGAAGTTACTAGGACATTATATTATGTTACTAGGACATCATATTACGTTACTAAACACTCTGATTCTCGACACGAACATGAAATGAATACACTTCCCACTGAGGTAACTCATCCCATGGAAGCTCTGACAAACACTCACGTGACCTGGGGAGGCCTAGCAGGTGGTCCTGGGTTGTCTCAAGACTGCTTAGCTGGGCGCTGGGGAAGTCTGGTCCTGACCGGAGGCGACTGCCTCGGTCCTCTCCCTCCTGAGCGGGCCTGGTGGTGTGTAGCTGGCCCTTCCTCCTAAGACACTCTCTCTCTCTGTCTCTCTCTGGCTCTCTGTCTGCCGAGGGAGGACTAGCACGTCCTATATATTGGGAGAGGCGAGCCGTCAGGTTGAGCTGATCGGGGGCGGCGGAGGATCTCTTACATTTGCCCTCGCTAATGTAGGGTCAGGTCTGGACTTTTTCAGAGACTATAAGTTGTATCTTCTGAAGAAGTCATCAGGTGGGGCCGTGTGTATATTGGGAGAGGCCGGCCGGTGCCCTCACATGTGTGACATGGAGGGAAGCCTGGCTGATTTATAACCCTTGGTCAGCCGTGAGAGTTACCCTACACTTGACCTCCCTATTGTCGGGTCAAGCCTGGACTGTCTCTGAGATGCAAGCTGTGGTCTCCATGGTCTACAGGGCTCCACAGGTCTACAAGGATCAACAGGTCTACAAGGATCTACAGCTCTACAAGACTCTACAAGACTCTACAGGTCTGCAAAGCTCTACAGGTCTACAGGACTCCACAGCTCTACAAGGTTCGACAGCTCTCCAAGGATCTACAGCTCTACAAGGCTCTACAGCTCTCGAAGGATATACAGCTCTACAAGGATCTACAGCCCTACAAGGATCTACAGATCTACAAGGCTCTGCAGGTCTACAAGGCTCTACAGCTCTACAAGGATCAACAGGTCTATACGGCCCTACAGCTCTACAAGGCTCTACAAGACTTTTCAAGGATCTCCAGCTCTACAAGGCTGTACAGCTCTACAAGACTGTACAGCTCTACAAGGATCTACAGGTCTACAAGGCTCCACAGCTCTACAAAGATCTACAGGTCTACAAGGCTGTACAGCTCTACAAGACTGTACAGCTCTACAAGGATCTCCAGCTCTACAAGGCTCTACAGCTCTACAAAGATCTACAGCTCTACAAGGATCTACAGCTATACTAGGATCTGCAGCTATGCAAAGCTCTACAGTTCTAAAGGATCTGCAGCTATGCAAAGCTCTACAGTTCTAAAGGATCTACAGCTCTATAAGGCTCCACTTGTCTACAAGGATCTTCAGGTCTACAAGCTCTACACGGATCTACAGCTCTACAAGGATCTACAGTTCTACAAGGATCTACAGCTCTACAAACTCTACACAGATCTACATCTCTACAAGGATCTACAGCTCTACAAAGATCTACAGCTCTACAGGGCTCTACAGCTCTCGAAGGATCTACAGCTCTACAAGAATCTAAAGCTCTACAAGGATCTAAAGCTCTACAAGGATCTACAGCTCTTCACGGATCTTCAGCTCTTTGGATCTACAGCTCTTCAAGGATCTACAGCTCGATAAGGATCTACAGCTCTACAAGGATCTATAGCTCTACAAAATCCACAGCTCTACTAGGATCTGCAGCTCTACAGCTCTACAGAGATTCACAGCTCTTCACGGATCTACAGCTCTACATCTCTACAAGGTTCTACAGCTCTGCAAGGATCTACAGCTCTACAAGGCTCCACAGCTCTACAAGGCTCCACAGCTCTACAAGGATCTACAGGTCTACAGGGCTGTACAAGCCCAAGCCTCTACAGCTCTACAAGGCTCTACAGCTCTACACGTATCAAAAGGTCTACAAGGCTCTACACCTCTGCAGGTCAACAAGGCTCTAAAGCTCTACAAGGCTCCACAGCTCTACAAAGCTCCACAGCTCTACAAGGCTCTACAGCTCTACCTGTCTTTAAGGCTCCACAGGTCTACAAGGCGCCACAGATCTACAAGGATCTACACGTCTACAAGGCTCTACAGCTCTATAAGGCTCTACAGTTCTACAAGGCTCCACAGCTCTACAAGGCTCTACAGCTCTACAAGGATCAACAGGTGTCAAGGCTCTACAAGTCTACAAGGATCTACAGGTCTACAAGGATCTATAGCTCACAGGGCTGTACAGCTTACAAGGCTGTACAGCTCTACAAGGCTGTACAGCTCTACAAGGCTCCACAGCTCTACAAGGCTCCACAGCTCTCGCAAATCACCAACTCTACAAGGATCTATAGGTCTACAAGGCTCTACAGGTCTACAAGGATCACACAGAGCTCCACAGCTCTACAAGGCTCCACAGCTCTACAAGGATCACCAACTCTACAAGGCTCTACAGCTCTACAAGGCTCCACAGCTCTACAAGGATCACCAACTCTACAAGGCTCTACAGCTCTACAAGGCTCTACAGCTCTACAAGGCTCTAAAGGTCTACAAAGATCTACAGGTCTACAAGGATCTATAGCTCTACAGGGATGTACAGCTCTACAAGGCTGTACAGCTCTACAAGGCTCCACAGCTCTACAAGGCTCCACAGCTCTACAAGGCTCCACAGCTCTACAAGCATCACCAAATCTACAAGGATCTACAGGTCTACAAGGCTCCACAGCCCTACAAGGCTCCACAGGTCCACAAGGCTCTACAGGTCTACAAAGCTCCACAGGTCTACAAGGCTCTGCAGGTCTACAAGGCTCTACAGGTCTACAAAGCTCCACAGGTCTACAAGGCTCTGCAGGTCTACAAGGCTCTACAGGTCTACAAGGGCTCTACAGGTCTACAAGGCTCTACAGGTCTACAAGGCTCCACAGGTCTACAAGGCTCTACAGGTCTTCAAGGCTCTACAGGTCTACAAGGCTCCACAGCTCTACAAGGCTCCAGCTCAAGGCTCTACAGGTCCACAAGGATCAACAGGTCTACAAGGCTCTACAGGTCCACAAGGCTCTACAAGTCCACAAGGCACCACAGGTCCACAAGGCTCCACAGGTCCACAAGGCTCCACAGGTCCACAAGGCTCCACAGGTCTACAAGGCTCCACAGGTCCACAAGGCTCTACAGGTCAACAAGGCTCCACAGATCCACAAGACTCCACAGGTCCACAAGGCTCTACAGGTCCACAAGGCTCTACAGGTCTACAAGGCTCCACAGGTCCATAAGGCTCTACAGGTCTACAAGGCTCTACAGGTCCCAAGGCTCTACAGGTCCACAAGGCTCTACAGGTCTACAAGGCTCTACAGGACCACAAGGCTCCACAGGTCTACAAGGCTCTACAGGTCTACAAGGCTCTACAGGTCTACAAGGCTCTTCAGGTCCATAAGGCTCCAGAGGTCTGCAAGGCTCTGCAGGTCCACAAGGCTCCACAGGTCTAAGGCTCTACAGGTCACAGGGCTCACAGGTCACAAGGCTCCACAGGTCTACAAGGCTCCACAGGTCCACAAGGCTCTTCAGGTCCACAAGGGTCCACAGGTCTACAGGGCTCCACAGGTCCACAAAGCTCTACAGGTCTACAAGGCTCCACAGGTCCACAAGGCTCCACAGGTCTACAAGGGTCTACAGGTCCACAAGGCTCCACAGGTCTACAAGGCTCTACAGGTCTACAAGGCTCTACAGGTCTACAAGGCTCCACAGGTCTACAAGGCTCTACAGGTCTACAAGGCTCTACAGGTCTACAAGGCTCCACAGGTCCACAAGGCTCTTCAGGTCCACAAGGCTCCACAGGTCCACAAGGCTCCACAGGTCCACAAGGCTCTTCATGTCCACAACGCTCCACAGGTCTACAGGGCTTCACAGGTCCACAAAGCTCTACAGGTCTACAAGGCCCTACAGGTCCACAAGGCTCCACAGGTCTACAAGGCCCTACAGGTCCCTGGCTCCACAGGTCTACAAGGCTCTACAGGTCTACAAGGCTCTACAGGTCTACAAGGCCCACAGGTCCACAAGGCTCTTCAGGTCCACAAGGCTCCACAGGTCCACAAGGCTCCACACGTCCACAGGGCTCTTCAGGTCCACAAGGCTCTTCAGGTCCACAAGGCTCCACAGGTCTACAGGGCTCCACGGGTCCACAAGGCTCCACAGGTCCAAAGGCTCCACAGGTCCACAAGGCTCCACAGGTCCACAAGGATCCACAAGTCTACAAGGCTCTACAGGTCCACTTGGCTCCACACAGGTCTACAAGGCTCCACAGGTCCACAAGGATCCACAGGTCTACAAGGCTCTACAGGTCTACAAGGCTCTACAGCTCTACAAGTTTCAACAGGTCTTTCCGGCCCTACAGCTCTACAATCTCTAGGGGGTCTACAAGACTTTTCAAGGATGTACAGGTC